ACACGGATACAACGAGTTAGTGCAACCAGGGTAGTGACACAAAATTAACAGTTCCTGTAACCCAGCAACCAAAAAAAGTAATGATAAAAATGTGGAGAGTACAGAGTATACTATAATAATGAGAGATATAAACGTGAAAATGTGAAAGAATAAATCAACCGTAAAATAAACTCAGAACGGTAACTGCTAAGGACATTCAAAAGTGAATATGGTAAACGTGAGGAAGGGGTGTGGAAAAAAACAATTTATATCCAGTGGTGGGAGTACACATTCGCTCAGGCTTAAGTCCGGAGACCCTGAGAACATCGCTTAACCCTCACAACCCGACCAGACACAGTTCAACCAGATATATCTCTCAAGAGGAAGTGGGTGAGGGAAACAATTAATAACAAGCCTAATACAAAACACCACAGAGAAACAACCATTCTAGAAGAATTTAAACAAGAGAAAAGATAATGTTCGTCACCCTCACGATCAGAGTTTTCATCATCCGTTGGCGAGGAGTAACCGTGTCTCGTTTCTTTCTAAATGGATCGGGCGTGGGCAAACTGGAGAGGAAGTGGTGGGCAAGACCCTAGGGCTACATTTGTCAGATTGGGACTGTCAGAAGGGGCGAAGCTTTTGAACTTGAAGGTGTCAGAAGTGTCGGGGCCTTCACAGATCAGGATTATGCCAATGGGAATGAGACCCAGGCCAGGAAGCAAACAAAGACGCAACATCTTTGCCTGCCTGTCATTTCAGGGGGAAAGGGCCAAGACATGTTTACTTAGCTTGGATGTCGTCTAATAGAGGATGATGGGCAGAGAAAGGTGGTCCAGTTCCCCCACCTCGCCAAGGGCGTGTTCTAGGAGTTAAAGAGCAACAACCTGCAATCTGTACCAAAAAATCTCATAGTCCACCGGAAATCATAAGAGTAATAAACGATTCAGCTCAACAGACAAGTATCATGTTCAGGTTTCTCCAATCATTAAATCACTATTATTGCCACAATTTGCTTTATTCACCCTTTGGGCAATGTTATTCCAAGAGAGAGAGAGAGAGGAGAGAGAGAGAGAGAGGAGAGAGAGAGAGAGAGAGAGAGAGAGAGAGAGAGAGAGAGAGAAGAGAGAGCGAGAGAGAGAGAGAGAGAGAGAGAGAGAGAGAGAGAGAGAGGACAGAGAGAGAGAGAGGAGAGAGAGAGAGAGAGAGAGAGCCAGCCCCTAATGGCCAGTTAGTGGGCTCTAGGTCAAACTGTCCCCAAATTTGTTATTTGTTATTATTACTTGTTTTCATGTCACTTGTCTGTTTTCTACTGCACCCCTCTCACCAAAGCAAAGCAAACATTAGCAGCACATTGACCGTAGTCAGGCATCCTCATTCCATAGGTGCTATAAAACATTTCCTGTAAAAGAATCACAGTTTTCAAGACAGGGTGTGTCTCCCCCAACACTCTCACCAGAATACAGTGTAATAGCATCCCCAACTCCTAACCCATAAACACCGTTTCTTCACACATCCGCCCAGAAATCCTGTAATAGAAAAACATTAAAACTGTAACCCTGTAGGGAAGAAATGTAAATGGTAACGCTGCGCAGTTACCTCTGTAAGCAACACAAGACACAAAAATGGCATTTACAGGTTCACTCATCCTCGAATATTTTGTCATCCTTCTACTCCTGTAAAAGAAACCCACATAAATTCATCCACCCTTTTATCCTATCTAGGTGGAGGTGGTTAACCTTGAGTCATGGTCAAGTCTTGTCATCTTTTACCAGTCAGTCCGTTTGTTTTTATTCCCAGTCTTTCATCCATTCATCCGTTCTTTGCTGATAGTGAAACCTGTCGTCGCATCTAGTTTCCACACTCAGCAAAATGACGTCATCTCAAAAAGAAACAAGAACTTGAGTTTGGATTACCTCGCTGAATCCTTTTTTAAACAGGGACTCTCGTTTCTAATTGTCCCCACAAGTGTTTCCTCCAGAACCCATTTCAATGCGGAGAAACTCACTTACAACAATTTTCTCGCCGACGTGTAATGCTTGTAATTTCCGATGTGCAGATCTGCTTAAAGAAAAGATTCACAAACAAAAATCAGTAAATATAAAACAAAATAAAATGAAAAATAACAAAAACAAAATGCAGACGCCCGGGTCTTAGGACTTGTCACTGAATATTCTTCCCATCAATAAAAATACCAACCTAAACCTACACAGAGTCAAATCAACACCACCTCAACCTTTTCATATTCATAAACCTATATGTTTTGCGTTCGTGAAACAAAATTGAACCATTAAGTAAGTTGAGCTCTTGAAATGTTTTAATTCTCTTAATTCTGCCAGTTTATTTCAACACTTATTCAATGACTTTTATTCAACTGCTACTTGGTCACTCGACTTTTACCTGTTCAAATTGCCTAGGGTTCAACAAAGTCTAGATCCCCGTTATCATGAAACTTGAACGGTGTACGATGATTTACTTACAGTAATTTAGAATCATCACTCAACCTAGCTCTACTACTGGCACTGCGTGACTTTTCTCACACTGGAAACCAGAATTTAGCACAGAACTTTAATGCCTCAGGCAATCGCGTTCAAGGGCTGCCCCCCTTCTCTTCTTCTTTGTCCGTGTGTTCCTCCTTTATTAAATCTCCATCACAATGACGTGGCGCTCTGAAATAAAACTCACACTGTTAATTCCTCGTTTTCACTCTGCACCACTGCTCAGAGTGTTTTCTTTTCTTTTTAGTGTAGAGTAAACAATTAAGTCGAGGCCTTAAGCCCCAGATATCTCGCACGGGCATCATTTTCATAACCAAACCGCTCCGGACTCTGCTCCCCAGACCACACAAATGCCCTCTGGGCTTATTATTATAGCAAATTCTGTATTTGACTTTGTTGTGTGCAGCATTGAGCCTTTGTCAGTAAAGCATTCTTCATTGCAGCAGCTGGAGCATTGTGTGTCACTTCTTAGTAAATTAAATCAACATTTTGATTTTAGTGCATGGGTATGTATCAGTTTTTACTCCCTCAACAAGTGCATAAGTGTTCATGTGTGTGTTTCCCTTCATTCTAAGTAGGCGCATGCAGAAGTGTGTGTTCGTGTGTTGGTATATGTTTGTGTTCATCACCTTCCTGTTCTGTAGTTTAGGTAAACCAGCGGCCTGACGCATGGCCTAGGGTCCTCCCCTCCTCTTTGGGTCTGTTTATGTTGTCCTTACTTTGCTCCACGGCCTTCTGCAGCTCTGCTGTTCGGCTCTTCTCAGAGGTCAGCATCCTTCTGCTCACCGTCCCTTTTCCTCCGGGCTTAATGCGCGTCTCGTCACAGCTCTGTCAGCTGACGCAGCCTGGGAATTTCCCCCGTGTAGTGAAACGGGCTTTAGGTTTAGTGCTCTCCGTCTCTGCTGCATGAGATCACTCTTTTGCAGCACTGTTGACATCCTCAAGTTGTTGTTGTGAGTCCAGCTGCTGTGGCCTTCAGGGGTCAAAGGGTCAAAGATGGTCGCGGAGAGGGCAACGATGGTAGAGGGGAGGGTAGGAGTCCAGGTCAGCTTCGGCTCTCAGAAAAAACAAAAACAAAACAAAACAGGCGAACAGGAAAATGATGTTGTGTTGGCTGTGCTGTGTTGGCTGTGTTATCCCGAGAGGGGAGAAACAACGAGATCTCGTCTCCCCCCTTTTTTTGTTTTTGTTTTTTTTTTTTTTTTCACCATATAATCAACTCATAACCCCTCAAGTTGACAGGACAACACAGGTACGTGTTAAAATTCTTAAGATCCTGTTTAGAAACCTAAAAAGGAATTTCCTATCATTCAGTAGTCATTTGTCTTAAACAATCAACAAAAACATGTCCCAAGTCGACCCTTTTAACCACTAAATTTGTCGTGTCCTCACTTAATCCTCAGACCAGTGTCTTTGTCTTTTGACGTTACGTTGTTGTCCTGCAACCCAAAGCGTTTAATTGTCAGTAATGTATAAACTATATCATTTAAAAACAGGTGTATGTTAAGTGTCTCTACTTTAACCTTGCATGTACGTGCACATGTATGTAAGCTGTTTCTTCATTGCATGTATGGGTGCGTCTGTATATGGGTTACTTTAACTTTTTCTCAAACGAGGCATTTCTCTAACACGCACACGTGTCTGTTCCTCACCCTTCTCATATCTTTCTCTGGTTGTGTGTGGTTTTATTTGTTTCAGTGATTTACCAGGAACATCTTTTCCTTTTCTCCATGTCTTCCGCCAGAGGTTAACACTGGTGAGATCCAGGGACACAGCACCCAGAGCAGTTCAGCGAGAAAAACCTGCCTCAAACTACATTCTCTCTTTTTTGTTTTACCGGGAGGGGTGAGGACAACTCTGGTGTCCAGCCGTGAATTTTAGCCAAAGCTTGGCCTGTCTTCTGCTGCCGTACTCAGGCTTCCAGGTTAAGAAAAAACACCTGTATGAAGACACTAAACATACATTTAGTATTTGTATAAACATAACTGCCTAAATCATTGAACTCTTGAGGAGGGTGTATTTCAGAATCAGAATCAAAATCAAAAACTTTATTGTCATTGTCATGAGACCGACGACATTAAGAATGGTCCCCGATCATTGCATCATCCCTAGTAATATCAAATATAAAAAAACAATAAAATTCAATCAATAAAATAGATAGAATACTTAAAATACTAAGTATTCCCACCGTCATGCTTCAGACCGTGCATAGATTAACACAAGAGTGGCATGGTGGACATTTTTGTAGTATTCAGATGTGTTATTGCAGTTGGATAACAGCTGTGTTTGAGTCTATTAGTCCTTGCTCTGATTGCCCTGTACCGTCTGCCTTAGGGCAACAGTTCGAACAGGGAGTGGCCAGGATGTGAGGTGTCTTTTATGATGTTTTGGGCCTTTTTTAAAACAGTGGGCGTTGTTTGACTCTTTACTAACTTTAAAACCCCACCATAACAATTTCTCACTGACAAACTTCTATGCATCCATTTAAACATGCGAAGCCAGCACAAAATCACACACATACCCCTACAGCAAAGCTTTAACATAACCACAATGCAACTCCTCCCTTAAACGGGAGAAATCACCCTGAATCAACCAACTCTATATAAAACGTCAAACAAAGATAAACCACAAACATTTCTACACTTCTGTGTCTTCCACGCAGCACAATAGGCAGAAAAACACCGATTACTCACAGTCTACAACAAAAGAAAAACCTGCTCTTTTCACAACTCTCACAGCTAAAGTCAAAACTCTTACCCAGTGCCTCTGAAATAATAAAAAAAATCACCAAATACTCGATTACTCTTTTCACTCGCTCCCTCTCACTCCCTTCTTCCTCATACAGCATACACGCTCGCTCCCGCGGACCCGCTCGGCCCCGCGGGCTCACTCGGCCCCCACCTTTTTCCTCTCACAGAGACAGAGAGAGAGACCCTTTTCCTTTTTTTTTATTTCTCCAGCACACATACACACACAGAATCCCAACTGAGAGAAAGAGGGAGAGAAGAGAAAAGAGTTGTAGAGAGGAAGTTTTTTAGCAGGAGTTTCAGATCTAACAGATTTATACAACTTATTTACACACACCGGTAATTTATGTTCTATTTATTGATTTTAAAGGAGAATTTGGGCCAGCTGGGTTTCTGCCTCTGTTAGGCACTAACAGCTGGGGCGCTGCTTTAAAGGTGAGTCAGCACTGAAATATCCCTTCAGGTGTTACCAGGCTTCTACCAAACCGGAGTCTGGCGGGTAACCTTGCCTAGAGCTTCCTGATAGGGGTGCTAGTTGGTTGTCACCTTGTTCACACGTCTCATTCACACTTCATACATTACCTGCAGTCACTCATTACCCTCCTTATGTATGTAATAAATGTGTAAAAAAATTCTATGTGTGGTGTATTATTTTAACCAAAAGAGGAACCTAGTTCCTTTAATTGTGTAATCTGTGAACAACGGAGAACCAAACTGTCCTGCCCAGTGTTCCACAGCAAGCATTCAGCGTGTATTTATGTGTGTCCAATATCAAACAGAACATCAAAACATTTAAAACACTAAAATCATCGGGGTTTTAAGAAGAGATCCGTTTTCTCCTATTGATCAAAGGGACCCCTCCTTTGGACTCCAACCAGTACTTCTCCTTTTTAAGTTTTAGAGGATCTTTTCTAATAAAGTCCTCTGGGCCTTCCTAACCCTTCTGTAGTTTAGAGAATATTACTAAAAAATATTCTCAAGGCCTTTAACCTTTTAATTTGTTTAGAAAGGCGTTACTAATAAACCCTTTCAAGGTCCCAGACCTGCACTGAGGTATTTATCCGACACCGGAGAGCAACCCGTCGGCTGCAACCGTGGTCAGACCTCAGTTCACTCTTATCTTTATTCACTTATTCACTTATTTCTTATTCACTTATCTCTTATTCACTTGTCTGATTCTCAACAAGCCTTAAGTAAGCCAGACAATTTTGGTTATGAATTACTAGGAGTTTGGACACTAAGTATTTTTATAATGTTCAATATAGCAGAAATAAAAGGTCTGCTTACCTTGTTTTTGTGTGCACACAGCTTTTGTCCAAACTCCGTTCACTCAAACCACGGCCGATGTCCTCCCCCCCGTTCCAGTTGACCTGGAGCGGATCCTGTTCGTGACGCCAATTGAAGGATTTAAAAAAAACAACAACAGCAATAGAATAATATTAAACACAAAGTGAACCGTCTTCCTTCATTAAATAGGTTCTTTTAGATGTTAAGGAGGAATTGACTTAACCAGGCTGGCGGAGAATGAAGACAACCGGACACCTGCAGCAGATGGGGGAATCAGTGAACTTTTATTGAGACAGAGACAACCTCTCAAAAACAGCTCACATCAAGAGATTCCTCATATTTGCTGTGAGGATGGGTATATATTCTCTAAAACTTACAGGAGGGGGTTGTGAGGAAAGTGCTGCATTAGCAGAAAAACAACTCCATAAAAGGAAAGCGGCCTTGGGTGTTCTTCGCTTGCAGATATCTTTCGCCTGCAGGATGAGGCGATCGCTTCTTATCGCTCTCAAGGCCAAAGTCGTGAGCACACATTTTTATTACACAGTTGCACAGTAACTTTAAAGCTGAACAATATTTAAAGCTGAATAATGTTTGATCAGATTATATTTTCTTCACTGGACAGGTTGCCAGTCTGTCACAGGGCTAACACATAGAGACCGACAACCATTCACACTGTCATTCACATCTGAAGCATATTAAAGCCAATCACCAACTAACCTAACCCTACTAACATGCCTGTCTTTGGAGTGCTTGAGGAAGCCGTAGTATCTGGACAGAACCCACACAGACACGAGGAGAACAAGCAAACTCCACACAGAAAGGCCCTGGCCAGATCCAGGACCATCTTACTGTTCGGCTTTGAGGCAACAGTAATCACCATGTCACTGTGTTCACTAGTGTTTCTACAGTTTTTCTTCCTCTAATCCAAGTATTCAGCTAAACGTAGATGCTAGCTTTAACATTATATATAAAGTGATACAATATAACTGATATATAATAGCAGGGCTACTTGAGTGGAGTCCTATGACCCCTAGTGGCCATATTGGCAATTAGAATTGCCAATATTGACTGGTTACGATCTCTGACATAAGGGTAATGCACAGAAAGACAGAAGAAGTTGTGATAAACAGGAACTACACAATGTTTTTTCCCCAAGAGGTCTTAAAATATTCACGTCTTTGCCCCACACTTGATGTGTGATTTTTCTCTCTCTCTCTGTGGTTATTTCTACAGCAAATTTCACAACCCTTATTTTAGTTTTTGACCTTTCTGTGAGAGTCCAGATAAACAATTGCTACTTAATATGTGTACTTAATCTACATCAGATACTGATCCAAATCTCAGGCTTGGTTGAATCTGTTGGGATTATGAGATGAGTGGGAAATTAATTCCAAATGAGTGTATCACTCATAGTCTCCTAGGAAGCTGCAAAGGGGCAGTAGTACGCTTTAAATCTGTAGGCAACATATCTGACAGGCGAATTTAATGACCCGGGGATGAATATATGGCTGCATAAAGCATAACAGCCGACTTTTGCCTCAGAACTCAAATCTGCTTTACTTTTAGATTTAAACAAGTTACTCATTCATGAGATGAAAGCGCCAACAGTACCGACATTTCACAGGACATTGGCGTTCTGGGAAATGGTCAAATTCCAAATCTCTTCTGTCATTTTCTTCATGCTTAACTTCAGCGTGTGGGCTAAATTTGCTTTTAGACTTTTTCACAAAGTTGTAGAATACCTTTTATTTTAGTACAGCACTGGATTATATTATATGGAAATATTATATTCTTACATGCACACCTTTTCCATTTATGCCTGTAGCAGTTATTTCCATGATAATACATTATTAAATTACTGGCTTCTGTGTAAAAAACCAAAATATATGGCAATGTTTCTTAGAGATTTCATTAGATAGGACTGACACGCCTAGGTGGTGATGTACTGTAATATTGCAAGTGCTGTTTCTTTTAGCTGTTAAAGAAAAAAAAGGCGGCTTTGGAGTACGTAATTCACTTCTTGTGTCAGGATGGTGCCGGGGGAAGTTTTCATTTTGTTTTCTACTAAAAATGACAAGCTGTATCAAATTGGGGGCTTTTGATAGCTGAAAAGGTTATTATGACTAAACCAGTGTAAAGGCTGCAAAGGCTCATTTTGGACTATTTTGAGTGGTCGTGTCGCTTATTAGTTTTAACTTAACTAATAATGTCTTACTTTTGCTCGTTTATGATTCATTTTGAGAGGAAATGATGGATGCAGGACACCGTTGTGAAAAGGGGTTAAAAAGGGTAAAATCCCTATGTGATGTGCTTTCTTTTAACACCAGTTTGTCTCAAGTGGTTATAAAGTGCTGGGACTGATTAAAGCAGCAAAAGTAATGGCAAGAAAGACAATCTAATTACCCAGTCTGCCTAAAATGTCCATAAATGGTAAATGGCCTGTATTTGTATAGCGCTTTTCTAGTCCCTAAGGACCCCAAAGTGCTTTACACAACCAGTCATCCACCCATTCACACACACATTCACACACTGGTGATGGCAAGCTACATTGTAGCCACAGCCACCCTGGGGCGTGCTGACAGAGGCGAGGCTGCCGGACACTGGCGCCACCGGGCCCTCTGACCACCACCAGTAGGCAACGGGTGAAGTGTCTTGCCCAAGGACACAGCAACTGAGACTGTCCAAGCCGGGGCTCGAACCGGAAACCTTCCGATTACAAGGTGAACTCCCAACTCTTCAGCCACGATCGCCTCATAAACTCCACAGGAAGTGAGGAGCCATTTGTTGGTGAGGCAAGACAGGATACATTTGGTGGGATACATTTGGCATACATTTGCTGAAGTAATTTGTATGCATCTCTAGCTAGGCTGACACTATTGATGCATACATGTCAACAAGACTATAAAAGATGCCTAAAAGGTGGCTTGAAGTGGTAAAAAGGAGTGTAGCCATAATTGATTTTGGGGGGTTGCTAGGCAAAAAAAATACACATATAAACAGACCCAGAAGCACCAGTGCTCTCTCTGGGCCTTTGTTCGGACTGAGGGAAAGCAGAAAATATTCCTGTGGTCTGACAGGTCAAATTTTAAAACTCTTAGAAATCCTCCAGGCTAAACAGAAAGGCCATCACTCACTTGTTGTAAGCACACAGTACAAAAGCCAGCATCCTCGATGGTATCAATGCGCATTAGTGCACAGGGCACGGGCAACTTGCCCATACTGAGAGGCCCTTTTAATACTGAATGATATGTATGTGGTTTCTTTGGCCTTTAAAAGAACATTTACTGCTTTCCAGCAATGTCTTTTTGGGGAGAAGGCCTTGCTTATTTCTGTTATATAAGCTCAAATGCTATTTTTTAATACAAATTACAATCCCCTGAAGTCAAGAACTGACACCTGTTTGGAATGATCACCGCTTTACCAAAAGAAAGAGAGAGAAATCCCATATCAAGCAAGAATGTAAAATTCAGGGTTACAGCTGCTGGTCTAATCAGTTCCATAAAACTTGAACAGTGATGAACTAAAGAGGTAATGCAGCACTGTTTTTAATGTTTAAATGTGTTGCCTGAGTCATACTGAAAAAAATCATATTGTTCATTTCAGAATTTCTCAGTTCTACACTGTGGTTTATTCAAATTCAATACACTATTGTAACAAATATTAACTATTTCCTGGCCTGGTTAAATCCAGCACCCTGCATTTACAGATACAATGCTCTTTTATGTCAGAAATGTGTTATTTGTGTACTTTTACAGGTTCTGACACCCTAAAATTTATGCATGTCTCCTTGTACAGAGTCTAGTGTCCTGCAATTGAAGCTGAAGGCCTTGATCCTGGATATTATCCACAACATCAGTGTGGTGAAGCAACTTAACCAGGCAGGAGTTACCACTACTGACGCCTGGGCCTGGAAGAAGCAGCTTCGGTTCTATATGGGGCCGGACCAATGCTGCCACATACATATGGTGGATGCACAATTCAGCTATACCTATGAATACCAGGTGTGATATAGTGCAAACGTGTTGTATATGCGTTCCTCTTTTCAATTACACAAATGGAACAAACCAAAACATTCAGTGATGTTTCCTGCACTCCAATTAATCTTTACTTGACATTTTGTTTTTCTAATTAAGAATATTAAACCACAGGAAATTAAATCTGCTTTCTTAGCATTCATTTTACAGCACATTGACTTGCAAGGGAGGAAAGCAGCAGACATTTTCAACAGCAAGTTGTGCCATCTGTATTAGTCTATTTTTACAGATGATAAATGACTGACATCATGTCTAATTTTATAACCATAACAAAAATTATTATATTCATGTGTAACAACCAAAAAAAGGAAACCAAATATCTAAATCTAGCCGAGGGTTTAATATTCAGGTGAAGCCCTATAACATTTTGTTCATTCTGTAGCTACTTTCAGTATGACCCAGGTAAGGTAGTATTAGGAGAACATGCATTTTCTTAATCCCAGTTTATATCAGTAATAATTACACTATAGGCAGGAGTTTGGGGGCTGGATCAGCTTTATCACAAGGTATTGTTAAACAGTTTTTGCAGTGTGGCAGGCTGCAGTATCCCGCTTATGGGAGCTGTTGTGTAGGTGTTAATCAATGTATTTGAACCTATTTTTTTTTACCTTTGGGGGGCACTGTTTATGCAGGGATAAGGAGCACGTGTAATACAGTGCCTTCTTGCATTTCCACTTTACAGTTTTTTACAACCACATCCAGACTCCCGTTTACTTTTCTTTTCTTTGCCCGTCCATCATTCATTTGTCACGTCTATCCTTTTCCATTCATTTCCTTTATTTTTTTGACAAGTTTGTTTCAGTCTCCATCGTGTCCCTTCACCCATATCTCTGATGCTGTCTGGCCACCATCACTTTCCTTTGCTGTCTTTATTCCTAATTTTAATCTTTAATCTTATCTCTTACTGCCTCCCAGGGGAATGTGGCTAAGCTGGTGCACACTCCACTGACTGATAAATGCTACCTGACTCTGACCCAGGCAATGAAGATGGGGCTCGGGGGGAATCCTTATGGGCCAGCCGGCACAGGCAAGACTGAGTCCGTCAAAGCCTTAGGAGGGCTGTTTGGACGTCAAGTGCTGGTGTTCAACTGTGACGAGGTGTATAGATGCTTCTGTGAAAAGCAAAAAATATATACAAAGCGAAAGCTACAACTAAAGACGTGGATACAATATATCCATGAATCACATATGTGCAGTAGTAGACACACACATACACTAACCTTTTGATTAGTCCACACACATGCACAAACAAAGTAGGATTGCAAATTGAGTACAAATGACAACGACTGCTTTTTTTTTGGTCTGTTTTCCAGGGTATCGATGTGAAGTCAATGGGACGGATCTTTGTGGGGTTGGTGAAGTGTGGAGCATGGGGCTGCTTTGACGAGTTTAACCGTTTAGAGGAAGCAGTACTGTCTGCAGTTTCCATGCAGATTCAGGCCATTCAAGACTCTCTCAAACACCATAAGAACACATCCGATCTGCTAGGGAAGGAGGTCAGAAAATAAACAAATGCAGACAAAAACAATAATGCTGAACACCAGGTCATTCTGATTTCTCAAGCCCACCTCAGTAATTTATGACACTTTCTCATGATATACAATTATTTTTTCTATTTTTTTTAACTGTCTTTCAGTCAAATCAGTCCCACAGTAAATTATTTATGTTTTCATATATGGCGTAAAAACTGGATTTGTCATAATTCAAGAAGGAACTGCTTAAACTTTACTAATGCCAGTTTTAAAAAATCATACCGGTAATATTGAGAAGAACATGTTCTTCCTTTCTTCATCCTCTAGGTGGAATTGGACCCTAATTCTGGAGTCTTTATCACATTAAATCCGGCAGGAAAAGGCTATGGAGGCAGACAGAAACTTCCAGACAACCTAAAGCAACTGTTCAGGCCTGTGGCCATGAGCAGGCCAGACAATGAGCTCATTGCTGAAGTCATCCTCTACTCCGAGGGCTTCAAAAATGGAGAAATACTGGGATGCAAACTGGTAGCAATCTTCAACCTGGCAAGGTAGAATTAAGTCATTTTTGGTTTGGATTAGGGTCAAATTGACATGCAATGTGCTTCACCTGTGTAGTTTGATGTCTGTGTTGTGTGTGATTTTTGTGTTTCACGTGTTATTATTAGACGGACTTTCCGTTTTAGCATTAATAGTATGCAGTTGCTTGATTTTTGTGGATAAATTACCCTTTCTGCTTCCCACCACTGACTGTTACAGACAATGCTACCGCCAACTGCGAGTGTGTGATGTGTAAAAATGTGCCTTTATTTCTTTCTCCAGAGAGTTGTTGACTCCTCAGCAACACTATGACTGGGGTTTGCGAGCTCTAAAGACAGTGCTGAAGGCCTGCGGCGGTCTCCTGCAGCAACACAGAAGGAATCGCAACAAAGAAAAGAGTAAGACCCCCTCTGGGTGTTTTTCCTTTTTTTAAATATAGATTATTTCTGTGAGGCATTTTTATTTTTTCTTCTCCAATATTGTGTCAAGAAAGTTTTGAGGGGGTGCCAGTATAGCTCACTGGGTTGAGCAGGCAACTCATATGCCACAAGGTTATTCCAGAGACCACGGTTTGATTTTGTACCGGGCCAATTGCTACATCCCTTCCCCCTGCTCTCCCCAACCTTTCTTGTCCACCTTCAGCCTGTCACATCATTACAATGGCTAAAAAGGCCAAAAATGTATTTTAAAAGAAAGTTAGGAGGAAATGGGTTCATTTTTGACTCAAAATCAAACTCTTTGCCAAGTACAAAGGGTCAAAACTTTAACAATGCAAAGTACTAGGATTTTTATAAAATACACTGTGTTTTATTCGGGTTTATAATTACACAACATTAATGGCAGACTTTCATTATATTCAAGCAGCACCTGATGACTTGATTAATGATTTATTTCTGTCTGAAGCAGAGGTTGTGCTAATTTGTGAAATCATTTGGTGGGGTGAGAATGAAATCTATACTTAAGAGGGAGCTGCATATAATCTGATAAATTGTCTTAAGCCACTTTAGTCAACACTGATTGAGACTACAAGTCTGAAAGTTATGGGCTGCATATTTGTTTAGCCAATTTACACATTCTTTATTCTAGTCCTACAGAGGAGTTACAGTGATGTATTGTACTTAACAAAAATAGGCATAATTAGAAAGAACATCCCTCTGGGTAGAGTTTTGAAAGTCTACTGTTGTATTCAAGACATTTCTCATCTGGAGGCTGAATTTAAACAAACAGACACACTTTTTTAGGTGTTCTTGGCTGTTGCTGTTTCTCCAGCTAACGAACTTTTTGCTATGGGCTCCTCTCACTTCCCCTGTGGGCAGCTGCTGCACAGATGCTTCAAAGCTGCCCTGGCTAATGATGACCTTGAGAGCTAAACAAAAGGCCTTAAGTTACCTCGATGCCTCATACTGGGACCACTGGTCTGTTGTTGGCAGAGGGAAACATTATGATGTGTGGTTTTCACACTCCTGACAAGATTTCCAATGAGAAATTAAAGTCAACATTTCATCCCCTGGTGTGTCACTCAGCTGGATCCAAGGGATTAGCAGTGACTTGGGGGTAATTGTGATTGGGTAAAGTTGGGCCATTTAATTAACATAAAAAGCAGCTATGTGTAAAACTTCTGCTCCTTGATGGTGAACACATATAGTATGGGATATCATCGCCTCTGTCAGTGCGCCCCAGGGTGGCTGTGGCTACAATGTAGCTTGCATATCACCAGTGTGTGAATGTGTGTGTGAATGGGTGGATGACTGGATATGTAAAGCGCTTTGGGGTCCTTAGGGACTAGTAAAGCGCTATATAAATACAGGCCATTTACCAGGCCAGGCCATCGTATCCCCTCATGGTATATGTCAAGAACAGAGTGCAGGTCCTCAGATTATTATTATTATTATTATTGTTATTTTTTAATATCAGTTGTTCACCCTAACTCTGGGGTACACCCAGAACCTATAGGAGAAATTATATTTTCCGTATGGGAATACTTTGGGGTACAAGATCCCTCAGGAGTAACTGAGGGATCTCAAAGTGTCGAGTCTCACTGAGTGAGAGGATGTCTGGTTAGCCTGCTGCCACTGTAACATGACTTCATATAAGCAAAAGAGGATGGATAGATGTTAAAAAATATATAGTTCAATCCATTGTGTTTATTGGAGACCGGACTCTTGTCCTGGTGAAGGATCATTCAACACATCATAAATAAATATATCTCAAAGGCAAAGTAAGCGTAACTGTGCTGTCATGTAACATCCAAACCACGCTTTTAATATCATCTGATTGTTTTAATCGACTAAAGTTAAAGGAGCCCAAAAGACTATTGACACTTTTAATAATAATAACACCCTTTGTCAGACTGACATATTTGGCTCATTGGGGTTATTGAAAAAGAATCCACAAGTAAACTTGTCAAAGTTTTAGCCTCTTTAGACTTCTTAACTTCTTCATCCACCACAGAAGTAGATGAACCTGTAACAGAAATCTCGACGCAGTCTCTGATAATAAAAAAAAAAAAGTAGCAACTTTTCCAAGTCTGGTTGAAAATCTACTTTTTGGAAGTGCTGAAACTGCTATACTGATAGCAACCTTTGGACCTGAGGGATAGAAAGTTTTCGAGTTGACGTAAAGCATCGGAAGATAAGGTTACAGTTAAAAATTTGACTGGTCTGGAGATGCTTATCCTTTGCTCAACAGAGATACAATAAAAGTGCTTGGCTTATCTGTGCCTCTTTGTGTGGATATCTATTGAATGCAGCCGGATAAACACCACGAGTATACTTAAACAGAAAGCTTTAGTGTCCAGCTCTTTTTCTGTGCACATGCTGCGCTTGCCCTCTAAATATTCTAGTACGGACATGCCATGAATTGACATTTAGCTCAAGCACTTTCCCTAAAAACTTTTCTTCCCTCGGGTTTTTCACTTGTCTGTACTTTTGTCCTTCTGCATTCTCTCGTCCTCAAAACACTTTGCCAGAGCGTTGTTGTTTACCTCTTCAGCATTTCTTCCTCAGTTCCTGCTCCCTCCTCTAACCTCTTGTTAGCGCTCTCTTTCTCTGATACCTGGCTGTCGATGTTGCTCTCGTCCCGCTCGTTCGCAATCGGTGCCCTCTTTTTCTCACCCCAAAGGTCCCCTTCATGCCTCTTGTTTTCAATAACCTCCCACACTTCTACCTTGGTTTTACTCACCCTTTCCCAGATTCTATCATTCTTTCCTTTAAATCTTTCTCTTCCTCCAGCACCCACCTTTTATCTGTCCAACACACAAACACACACACACAGATTCACAGACACATTGTGTGAACCTCTTGTCTGTCGATGAGTCCCTGAGGTTTTTCCTTGTGTTTGTCTCTGTATGTAGTCTGGCCAAGTGCGCTTCTCTGCAGAAAGACAAGAGATCAAAAGTATTGACAGTGTCTTAAATCGTGACAAGTTTTGGTAATTAGCACATTTTTCACTGGGGACATTTGCAAGAGCAAACCAATACTAAACTTTCCTCACCTTGTTTTTATATCATTTTCTATTTTTTTTTCTTTTCATTCAGCATATTGCCTTTTTCATAGTTTATAGCTGTTTTATAGTGTTAACCATACTCTTATTCAAGTATTTTTTATGCTTATCCCTGTTTTGGATTGAAATTAAATTTATATTAATTTCTTTTCTTTCTCTAACTCATTTTCTCTCTCTGTCCATCTACTTGCAGTTGAAGAGAGTAGTATGGTAGTGCAGGCCTTAAGACTGAACACAATGTCCAAGCTGACCTTTGCCGATTGCTCTCGGTTTGATGCTCTGGTGAGAGATGTCTTCTCTGGGGTTGATTTCACTGACGTGGAGGACCAGATACTAACACATGCACTGGAACAAGTTTATAAGGAGGCACAGCTTGAACTTATACCCAGCCAGGTGTGTATATGAAGAATTCTAATAAACACTATGTGAACTGATGTTGTTTGTTAGAAAGATGGTATAAGAAAATCAGAGATAGTTAAATGGAGTAATTGTTGTCATTTATAGCTAAAGAAGGCATTGGAGCTAAATGAACAGCTAAGACAACGTATGGGCGTAGTTGTTGTCGGGCCAAGCGGAGCAGGCAAGTCCACACTGTGGAGGATGCTCAGGGAGGCTCTCGGCAAGACAGGAAAAGTGGTGAGTAGAGGGAGAACCTCCCCTCTTGAATTTAATGCTGTAACTGGAAAAAGTGATGTAATACAAGTCCTCTAAAATTACATTATGCACTGTCTGAGTTCCAGTGTTATTTAGCATATAAAAGAATCTAAAAAGCGACATTTTCAAAATTAAAGAAATTCTGCCTTGAGTTCTTGCCAATTCACTTTTTTTGTTTGGTAGGTGAAGCAGTACACAATGAATCCTAAGGCCATGCCCAGACAACAGTTGTTGGGACATATAGACATGGACACCAGAGAGTGGTCTGATGGCGTCCTCACCCACAGTGCCAGGAACGTGGTCAAAGAATCTCAGGGTAATAAGAGAGGGACACTGCTGGTTTGTGATTAACCAGACGTTTGACATTATTGCCCACTGAAACTGGAAAAGTGTTTGGCCATCACCAGAATCATCCAATTTCAAAGTGCTTTAATTCTGCAATGTTAAGCACTTGTGAACAAGTTTTGTATGTAAAACTTTTGAAATCAGATGATTCTTTCAGACACACCCCGTATCGTGATTAATATCCTGAATGCATGCGTTGTAAACATATGCATGTATATT